AAGCTTCTACCCCAGTGGAAATGCCAGCAACTAATGTGTACAGCTACAATCCAAATAAAATATATTAAGTGAAATGTGTCATTTTGAAACTAAATATTCAAAAAATATTTTGTTAAGGTTGTTATTCCTGCTTTAGAAATTGGTAAAACTCTTATTTTTTTCATGTCAATTGGTATGCTTCTCCACATCGGAGTCTAGGTTATGTCATGTTAAATGCTCATGTAAGCTGCCTCTAGGTAATTTCCTGTTTCATCATTAATTTGTTGCTGTTGTTGTTCTTGTAAATTTTAGCAAAGAAGGGCAGTTGAAAATGAAGTAACAGTTCTTTCAGATGTAAAGCACAAATACATTGTGCCGTTCCTCTATGCAGAGGAGAAGCAAAACACTATGTTGTTGTTTCTGGAGTACATGGAAGGGGTGAGGTTTAACCTCAACATCAGGATCAATATTCTCTATACTCCTCTCTCTACGTTACTTTGGTACTGACAGGGAGAATTTGTTTTACTATCAGAGCATTTTAGGTTGGCGATCATTTTCTTTATTCTCATGGCCTTAATGAATGGAGAAATTAGATGCTGTCCACTTGTTGAGTTTAAAGGATTAAAATCAGTGGAGGAGGAGAACATCAAGTTGATTGGGAGCTAATTATTTTTAATTAATGACCTTGGTTAAACGCCTTCATAGTTTGACAAATTTCCTCACTTTTTGACCCTGAGTGACAAGCATCTAATTTCTCTTTACAATAACATCCCCTGAATCCCACATAAGGTCCCAAGAATAAAGGAAATGATCACCACTTAAGAAGCTCTCGATTGTTAAGCAAATTCACCTTATCAACACCTTTGGGAATGTATAGTAAACAGTATGGAGAATATGCATTCTTATGTTAGAGTGAAGAGGGTTAAGACAGATGATAAATTGGTATTAAAATCTTACTAAGGTCAATAGATTGCTAAAATGTTGACACCTGAATAGCATCAGCAATGAGTGTCAAGGCCCAATAGTGTTGTGGACACTCAGGTTCATGATAACCACAATTAATTGCTCATAGTTAATGATAGAAGCCATCTGTGCTTTCCTGGAAGGAGAAGAATGAAGATATATTTGCCTTGATTAATGGCAATTTATGCTTTTTGGATGTAAACGGCTCTGCAATTGAGTGCACCCAGTCATGTAACTTTGACTGAACTATAGAGCGAAGATCTAATCCAGACAAGTCATTGTATGAAACATTTGATTTGGGAGGCTGGTGATTTCATTTTGCTAGTTGAGATCTATGTGGACAATATTCTTATGATGTTGCTGTGCTTCTATACTCTGATAGACTTTAGACATTGACAAATCAGAAAAGGCATAAATTCAGGTTATTATTAAAAGTTACACTGTGTATAGAGTGGGAATTTGTCACTGTAGCACTGCAAAAATATTGCTCTGGCTCCGATAAGTTCCTCTTACCCTTTTTTGTGGGATAGTGTCTTGAATTAGTCAGGAAAAGATTTATTTACTAGTCTCTGGGAGGCAACAGTTTAAACACTGTCGAGCCTAAATGTTAATCACCTCTCTTTTTGCAGGGTTCTGTGGAGGACATGTTAAGACAGAAAGGACCCTTAGAAGAGCTGCTTGTCAGAAAGTTTACCTGGCAAATGCTTATTGGGGTTGAATTCCTCCACGGCAAAGGAATTATTCACAAGGATATCAAAGGTTATTTTGAGAGAAGCTATGCTAGAAATAATTTACCTTACAGTAAAAACTTCAAGTTTACTCTTGATGATCTGTGTTAATCTTTCCCATCCTCAGCCATTCTTATTCCCTCTTGAGTTAAAATTGGTTATTTTACCCTTTAAACCTTAACATCAATGTGTATATTCTCCACACTGGTCTTCATACATTTCTTAAAGTGCTGACAAGGAGAGTTTGTTTAACAATCAAAAGCTCCTTTTGTTGGTGATTATTTTCTTTATTCTCCTGACCTTAATGTATGATTCAGGGGGGTTATTGTAAGGAGAAAGCAGATGCTGGTCACTCTTTGGGGACAAAGTGTTAAGTCTATCGGATCAATATCAGTATCTGGGCAACTGCTCACCTACCCCTCCCCTAACCCAACATTAACCCTAACTTGTTATCAATTGACTGTTGTTAGGCTAGGGGAGGGGTAGGTGGGCAGTTGCCCAGATACTGATATTGATCCAGTCTATCCCCCTTCCCCTTTTAAAAAGGTTTCTATGGATGCCCAAAATGTCAATTTTGTCATCACAATTATTATTATATTATTATTGGTTTTACTGTAAATATCTTTATTTTTATGTCATTTTTGTCATTGCTATTATTGCAATTGTCATAATTACTATTGTTTTTACTACTACTATTATAATCATAACTATTACAAATTCCTCAACTGTGATTGGTTCAGTTCCTGCTTTATTTTTCTGGTTCTGTAATATTATTATTCTGTGGAGTTGTAATCGAACAACTGGCTGTAATCCAATATCCTGTATTAAGACAGTTAAGCAACCAATTATATGAAGACCACTCAGCTAAACCGACCAATCACAGAATTGATTGCAATAACCATAGCAACAACCAATTACTCTACAAACTGAGAAATTTCCAAAACTGAGGATTTTTTTAAAAAAGGTGATGTCTTTTTTGGGAGGTATTTTCCCATTGTGAATTTTTACTTATTTGCATAGTTTGTTTTTTTTCGGAAATTGTAATAATAGTGTCGTCCAATCCTGTTTGTAATCATACTCGTAATTAACAAATCAGACTAACACTTCGCGCTAGTCCGATTTTGTGAATCACTCGTATTGATTACTGGCCGAATTGGACTCCACTTAGTCCTATTACCATTACTGATCATTATTATTTCTATTATTTCAGGTGCAAATGTTCTGCTAGATGGGCAACAACAGAACATAAAACTTGCTGATTTTGGCATCTCAAAAGTCATGACAGTAAGCAAATTTTCTGTTCTTTCCATTGTTGTTTGATCCTCATTTTGTCGGTTGGTTTATTATTGATTGATTAAATTTGACTGTAGAGTCTTTAGGAGGTTATGTTTGCAGTTTAAAATATTTCCTCGCTCCAAGATATCGCGTGGTCTACTGGTTAGGGTGGTGGACACCAGCTTAAGAGACTGAGATCTGGCTGAGTCATTACAATATGTGCTTGGTTAGGTCACGGTGCCTCTCTCCACCCGGGGAAATTTAACAGTTATTTCATGAGCGCGCGTTGGATATGAGATGTGAAATAGGCAAAGAGACGCGTAGCGCTGAGTTGGCTATAACTAATCTCGTATCCAACAAGCACGAATTGAATAATTATGTTATTAAATTTCATCAAATCCCGAAAGTGTAGATATTCAGCTCCAGAACAGTTGGCGCAATGCTTAGGGTTAGGATTATCAGCTGATAACCGGAGTTGAGTGAGCCAATCAGAATACTAGAAATACCATATTTGGAGTTAGAAATTTAAAAAAAAAATTGATACTGGTGAAAAAGATTCGTTGTCATGGGGAGCTTGTAGAGAGGAGTAGCTATTGGAGCTTCTGCGGGAGCTTAGACACTCAATTTAAGGTTATTCTCACAAACAATTTAATTTCTTGAATGTACAGGCACTGAAAACCGTCACCGGTGGAAGAGTGACTCAAGGCAACGTGGCTTCTTTTCATTGGACAAGCCCGGAAATGCTCTCTAACAAACCCTATGGAAGGAAAACTGATATTTGGTATTAGTTCTGACACTTTTTGATTAATAATGAATTTCAGTTAAATGGTGCATCGTTTTTCTCCTTGGAAATCTTAGTGAACTATTTTCTTGAAAGAGCTCGCAAATCTACCCTCAACTTAACAAATATATTCCATGTTGCCGTTCGCCTGTTCATTAAGAGAAAATTAATTGAAATGAAGGTATTGCTTTTTAGTGGTATAAATTTCTGCGTTTTACACCTATTTTCAAATGTTTTGCCCCATATAGGATTAATTGACTGGCTCTCAGCCAGTGAGTACAATGAAATTTGTTCTTGTATGTCTTAATTGAATTATCACATCATTTCTTAAGGAGTGTGGGTTGCACTGTAGTCGAGATGTTGACTACCAAACCGCCTTTGTTCTATGAAGACTTGGACTTGGCGCAAAGAATGTATAAGATTGTGAACCACCAAGTTGAGCCACCGAAAGACTGCAAATCCATTGCTTTTGGGTTTCTTAAGAAATGTCTCAGGTATTGAAGCATTTTAAAGTTTTTTATATATATATAAGCAGTAGAGAGGTTTTTTTTTTATCGGTTTACTTGCATCATAACCCACTTAAGATGTCGGGAGGATGCTCGAAACATATTAGTAAGTCACGAGGCAGAGGCGAGTGATTAACAAGCTTTTCTCGTGTACAAACTTTTCTCATTTTTTCGTGGTTATTGACGGTAAAACGATAGAAAATGCGAACTGTTGCTTAAGAAACCCACGTGGAGTGGCAAAATAGTTTTTTAATTATGTATTTATCTATTTGGTTATCATTTTATATTACCATTCTTGTTGTCATTATTGTTCATTTTATTATCATTTCTGTATCGTTACCTTGGGTTATAATTATTACCATATCATCTTTTTATTATTATTATTATTATTATCATCATCATCATCATCATCATCATAATTATTATTAACAATATCATTATCATTATTATTATCATTATCATTTTATCATCGTTACCTTTGTTAAAATTATTATCAGTATCATCTTTTATTATTTTATTTTTAGTATCATCTTTTTTAATTATTATAATCATCATTTTATTATCGTTACCTTTGTTATAAATTATTATCAGTATCATAATTATTACTATTATTATTATTATTATTATTTCATCATCGTTACCTTTGTCATAATTATTATCATGATATCGTAACTATCACTATCATCATTTTATAATCGTCATCATTTTCACCATGAAATTAATTTGAACGTTCTTCTGACCAACAGGATTGCATTTTAACTCGATTCGAGGTAGGATGTAGAGGAGCTTAACGTTTCATTTACATTTTTTTGTTGTTGTAGTAAAGAAGACGTTCGTCCCACTGCCGCTGAGCTATTGAAAGATGATCCTTTCGTGCAGTTTTCATCAGAGGAGATGAAGGAAGTATTTTGAATGTCTCGCCACAAGACAATGCTGGTGGCTAACGAACAGCAAAATTCGCGTTAGACAGGTTATGTAAGCTTGCTGTGAAGATTAGTCACGAGAGAAGACTTAATATCGTTAATTGTGATAATGTGTTGGGACGTGTTATTGACACTGTATTCAGGAAACTGTGCCTTTTGCAACAAGGACTACATGATCAATTGATCAGTTACAATAGACGGAAGTCGCACACTATCCCTCGTGGCGTTCGCAATTTTCAATCTCCGCTTTGTGGATGCTCTCTGACCTCGACTCTAGGGATGTAATATGAAATCGATGGCATATATCCTTTTAAATAAGATGAGAAACGACCGCCTTTGGAATGTAACTTGTAGTCTATGGTCGAAAGAAACGAATAGAATTTGTTATTAAGAGACGTTAGACAGTGCAACACTTACCTACCCATACCTGATTTGTAATTCTCACTTTTAAGGGCCATTTATTTCTTTTTGAAATAATGACGGAAATTTGGTGTTCTGTGAACTTTATATCCTCTAGCTGATCAGTTTGTGTATTCTCTTCACACATTTGCTGGATATAGTATAGATTTTGTGGGGAGAATTCAGATGTTGATCAGATTTGGGAGATATGGAGTTTCATGTGGTCTTGTTAGGTATTTCATTCTAGAAGCTGTTAACCACGCGAGGAATTCAGCCTTTGGGTGAAGAAGGTTTCTTTTAAAGGTTACTGTGAACAAAATCTGGTCAAAGTGTTCACACTTTTTTTAGAATTCTTTTTATTCGAAAAAAATTTTACAAAATCTTTAAAAGAACGTAAGGTACGCCTGGAAAGGCTTACACGTGCCTACCAAAACAAATAGTATTAAAAAGTCTAATCTTTTCAGAATCTATTGTTAATAAGCTTCTCAGTGATACATTGTTTTTCGCGGTTTCTTTTAAAGTAGCACGTGCAGGACGTAATTTTTAGGGAGGGGCCCAATTTTGTCGACAGTTACCGCTGACCTCAAAGCACAGCAGTATCAGCCATAAATTGAGATGAGTGTATGAGAGGGTAGTTGGCTTAATTTGCGTCAGAGCGCTTTTCTATTGGCGCAAGAGCCAATCAAGAGAAAGGGAAATTCCCTGAAGAGCGAATGAGAACTCGAAGTAAATACAGCCAAGCCGCCTAAAGCGCGGGAAAACGCGGGCGACCAAGTCGTGATTGGTTTTAGTTTTGCGTCAGTGATTGGTTAAAAAAGTGGCGCAAGTTTTGTGGACCAATCACAGAGCTGAGTAAAGTAAAACTAATGCAATCCCGGACAATTGCTTTAACCTTTTAACCCTTGAGGGTGATTAGCATATAAGTTCTCCTTACATTATCACCCCCTGAATTACTCATCAGGGTCACAAGAATAAAAGAAATGACACCTACTAAAGAAGCTTTTGATTGGTAATCAGATTCTCCCTGTCAACACCTGAGGAGATGTCCTGAGAACAGTATGGAGAATATGCTTACTGACGTTTGGGTGTAAAGGGTGAAAACGTAAGTCGAAGAGTATCTTTCACTCTGTGACCAGAGAAGAAAAATAGCAGTTTCCTGAAGTGGAAGGAAACTGGCTCGAGAGATAAATAGTAAACGCACCAGACATACTATTGAATATTGTTAGAAGAATAACTCTCTAACACTCGGTTGAACTTTCTTTATTACCTATTTCTTTGGACATAAGTCCACACTGTTCTGTCTTGCTATATTCTCTGATTGAAAGATGCTGTGCACCAGCTTATAAAGGTGACACCAAAGATGACACTTCTAAACTGTCAATCTTCTTACATCGCGATCGCTCCGTTTCAGCCAGCGAATCACGTTAGAGTACGTACGACAGTTCCTGTGTACCAAGTATGCACCTTCGAATTGTTTACGCAATCACAAGATCGTCTTCTACCTTAAATTTCTTAATTTTACGGTTAAGATCGGCCACAACAAAGACAAGATTGATAATATAAAAATTATAGTTAACCTATCGGCAGAATTGAAATTACGCTTGAAAAGATAGTTTACGAGAAAATAGCCTTAGAAGATTGTTATATAACAACAGAGTAAACAGAAAATTCGGAGAAGAAGGGGCGTACTTAAGGTACCGCCCCTAAGAAAACTACGTGTTATTCGCATAAGTTATATAATTACAAATTCAGTGCGGAGATGAAAAAGCATAAGCTATTTACAATCATAGTCACCTTTTTTTAAAAAAGAGGTGTTGAAGGTGTTAACTTAAAATTCAAGAAATATTCTGGAATCGTGAATTTGACTTTAGAATTTGACCAAAAAAAAAACCAGTCTGATAGTAATCAATAGTATAAGAAGCAGGAGTTTCCAGGAATTCCTGTGCGAGGTTAACTTTTACCAGAAAGATTTACAACTAGAAAATTGACATAATTACAAACAGCTTATCGCAAAATAGTACAACTAATCACCGATCACCGTAGAAACGGAGCAACTGTTTTCGTACCAAATTCACAACCGCAATAAGAAAAAGGTGAAAGAAATTGTACTTAGATGAGATCGACAAAAGCAATAAGAAATAATCAACCTGTCTTATTATAATTTTTGTATCGAATGGCTCAAAGTAATATAATATTTTCATTCTTTTTCCCAACACCCATATATGGAAACCCTTACAATATTTCAGATTAAATATAGTTCTATTTTTATCGTTTAACAATTTGTCTTACTAATGTGTTGTCTATTAAGTTAAATGTTAGGGCCAAATAAATCGAAAGAGGATGTTAATGAATGCCTCCTTTGTATGGACGATGTTTACGAATGACATGGGTTATTTTATAGAGCACAAACTACTTTACGGTGAAGGTTCTCCGTAAGTGAAAGGTCTTTCAAAGTTAGTCATCGCCGTGTTTAAACCAGTCTTTCCTTCCTCCCCTCCCCCTCCTCCCCCGAAAAAGACTAACAAGCGACCAAAGAAAAAAAAGCTTCTCCGGGTCTAGAAAAGCTTTGCTTCTACACTCAGCCCACGTTCAAGCTGTATTTCAATCGCGCGCTAAGGATCTGGGTACCAGATGAGCTATGGAATAAAATTTCCGTGGAAGGACTGAAGGCTTGGCAATTTACTCAGCTTTGCAGTTTGTTTTGCTTCTACATCCTTTATTATTTGCCTGATTATTCCAAAACTTTCAGAATATTCCAAATTCACCTTCATATTTCTTTAGGAGTGTTGTGTGACTCCTGTGTGTACACGAAGATATTTCTGTGATTAGTAAAAACACTCCTGTCAGATCATACAAACCCTTCATAAACTTCACTCCAAGTATAATCATGGCCGGATTAGCAAAGAGCGTTTGATGAAGCTTAGGAATGGATACTTTTTTCTCTGCGTAATGAAATCCGTTGTATAACTAGACCTACCAACATCGTATGGTAGCTAAATGGCTCAAAGGTCCAAATTAAAGTGGTTTATGTCGTTTGATCAAATGGTTGCACTTCCCGCAGCATCCAAACCGAAGAGAGTCTGGGTAACCGCATGAGATCGAGGCCAAGTGTGTCAATCAATCCAAGATGGCGTCGAAAAGCTGAAATGGTCTGACTTAGGACCGAGACCCAAAGGATATCAAAATATTTGCAGGACTGAATAACAAAACGAACAGAATGCGTCTTCATACGTCGAATGCAATCATCGCAAGACTGGAGAACACTCTTGAAAACGTATCCGACAGACAGGCCCATCAGTTTTCAATTTCAAGCTAGCACAGACCCTTTTAAGGTTTTACCATCGTACATCTGTTAACAAACAGAGCATCTGGTGACAAACTTATTAGCATTTCACCAAAGCGAGTCAATTATATTCATGACACTCTGCTGGGTATAAATACCGCGAGGGATGTTAAACACTATTAAGACTAAACACACCAAAAAAATAAAAAAAATTAAAAAAATTATGACCACTGATTTTTCTTAAATTTTATCCATCTGTTTCTTCATGAATATTAATTAAATTTATTTAACTCTGGAATTCGAAGTTCAATTTCTTCAGCTCGGTTTATTTCTCTTGATATACAATGTGTTTGGTTGCATGAGTAAAAATTGATCATGGAAATTTTTAGGTAAACTGACGTCATTTAAGTAATTGATGCATTTTAAAAAGGATGACAGGTTTTAACGATAAATATGCAGAAATACGTTAGAGAGTTTTGAATAAGTTTGACAGACATAGACGATATGAATTCGTCTTTTATCAAGACGATAGATAAAGAACAAAGTTGTGGTCTAATTTCACCAATGCATTTTGTGCGATAAACACACACAGCGTACATTTCCTCCAGCTGAGAGCCTTTTGTATTTTCCGTTGCAAGCCCGATCGTGTTCCGATATATTACGTTAATTTCCAAATTTCCTCTGAAACTGCTAAAATTAGCGTTGATTCACTTTTTTTTTTTTTTTTTTTGACGTTCCTTCCCACGTTTATTGTGATTTCAGTGATGAATCACAAATTTTGCACTTGTCCAGCGAAACGATAATATGCTTGTCATTTTTCGCAGGTCGGTTATACAAAGATGATTGATGTGAATAATTAAAGACACGTTTCACCGGCTTGAGCGAAAAATAGGGCTTCTGTCTCTTTATACAGGTTTATTTTGCTGGTGTTTAACAGGAAGTTTTGTAAAGATTTCAAAACAATGACCGAAAAAAAAAGAATTTTGAAATTATACCGGTCTTTTACAGTAGACCACTTCTTTTTTTAATTTGGGATTTTGCAGGTGCAAATGTCGTATCATTGTAGTATAATCAAACATTCTGCACATCCTTGGCAACAAGGATCTACGTCACTAGAAAGCCTCTCAAAACATCACGAGTTTTCTTAATGCTTCATCGCGTAACAATAACAGCGAAACAACATGGCTGATAATAAACCTTCGCCGTACCCGCAACAGCAACCTCCGCCGGGAGCAGAGTACCCTCCTCCAGCCTATGGAGGCCCTACGCAGCCAGCGTATCCGCCGCCCGCTCCTCCCGGCTACCCAGGTTATGCAGCTCAACCCGGCTACCCTGGCACAGCAACAACGACCACCATTATTCATCAGCAACCGACGGCTGTTGCAATTTCTGCGATCGGCTTCGGCGAGTCACCGGTGGCAATGTCATGTCCTGCCTGCAAACAGAGCATTGTAACAGCGACGACCTATGTGACGGGAACTTTAACTTGGCTTGCCTGCCTTGGATTGTGTGTTGTTGGGTAAGTGAGAACTAAACACCTTTCTTTCGTTTCCTTTCGCTAACCTATCCCACTTTCGAAATATTAATAAATAATTAAAAGCGATTTGTGTGGAACGAATAACACAATTTTGAACGGTTTACTTTGTGCAAAGGTTTTTAAAACATTGCGGTTTTACATGCACGGACGTGAATTTACAGACCATTAATATTACTGTATCAATTTCACAGGAACGGATTTAAACGATCCCAATCGCAATTTTCTCAGAATCTTTTAAACTAACAAGCGGTCTTCCTCTACAAATGTTAAATGGACGAGGAATGAAATTGAATTGTCATAAATTTTGAACTCTTGGCTGTGTTGCGTTGTGAGTAAACAGGTTTTTTTTAGAATTTCACTCGTTCTTGAAATCGTTAGAGTTTTCAGACTGAATTTATATATTTTTACTTCGTAAAAAATATCCAAAAAAATATCCATTCATCATTCATCAGCCAAAGTTTAGAAAATTTAACGAAATAATCCGAATGCTAGATAAATTAAACAAACCAGATCTCTCATTATTGAAATTTATACACTGGTGATAAAGCTACCTACATAGTTTGCATTTATATCAGCTTAAAAGTTTTAATATTTAATGGTCTGAAGTTAATTTAAGGTTGTAGTCGCTAGAATCAATGTCGCGACCCGTCGGATGCGTATTAAGAATACACGTTGCACATAGGCTTTATTCATTTTGACGTGTTTCTGACCTGACTTCCTGTAAATATCGCATTTCTCTGTCAGAGAACTTAGCTTTCAGATTGTCAAAACGTCGAAACGCGAATCTCAACGAATTTAATAAAGTCTCTGGTGGTTAATTACATTGGCAAGGCGAATTTTGAATTACAAAGACTGGTCCAAAAGTATTGATAGTACTAAGCAATTTTCAAACAATCAAAAAAATCAATAGCAAAATTATTGACCCGCGAACCTTTTTGACGAACGATTATAGAGTGCTTTGGACCGATGGAAGTCTTTTCCGATTGTTTTCCACAAGACCGACACAAAAACCGCCGCTGGAAGTAAATAAATGAATAGAAAATCACTCACAATTTAAGAAAATAGAATAAATATTATTAAAGTTTTAGAACTCACGCGAAAGTGATTAAAAGGACAATTTTCAACAGTTCGAAAGCAATCTGGAGTTTCGCAAGTTTGCGTGATGTTCTTCCCTGATGGACTCAGAGTAAGTTTCAAATTTCCTCAACCAGTCGGGTCTAAGAACAAAATTAAACTCGACTTAGACACTCGTGTTTTCCCACGCTGCAGACAGTTTGCTCATTATTGAAATGATTTCTCATCTGGCTCTTGAAGTATTTTCCTTTTGTCTCAATGGCCGTTTTGTTTTCATTGATTTTGGTTTTACGAGACTCAGTCGAAATGCAATCTTTGAGGTTACACAATATACCGTTGATAACGAAGATACCTTAAGTAAAAAAGTATTATACACACACGGGAAAACGTCAAATTTTTAAACACTTGAAATAATTTTGCATATGTTCCTTCAAATTCTCACTTTATTTTAGTTTTGTCTATAATAAACTTTCACTCCCGTTCCGTTAACGGTGGTATTTTCAGAATATAAATTTTCCGATCTTGTTCGTTCGTCTCTCCGTCTTTCCCGATTATTCATTCGTTTTTCCGTGCGCTTCAAAGCCTTTTTCCAATCATTAGTCGGTTTTGGCCCTTGTTCCTTTCGTTTGCGATAATATTTAAACCGACTTTTATTTTATCGACCCGGTTATATGAATGGATAAAACTGTGTCACTCTTATTTGATATCAAGTCTTATTAATTTCACAAAAGCGTCAGATTAAAAGCATGATGCGTGTTTGTAGTAAAAAATAAAAATTCGTCAAATAATTTAGTGAATTTTCTCACCTCGTTTAATCAAAAATACAACTTATTTTTTTCGCAAAACACTGAACGTTGAAAGTTCATCTCAGATGAAATAGACGAGAATTCTTTTTCAAGACTGACCCTATTTTATTTATATTGCAGATGTGATCTTGGTTGCTGTTTGATCCCATTTTGTTGTGATCCCATGAAAGATGTGGTACACATTTGTCCCTCTTGCGGTGCCCAAGTAGGAGTGTTTCGTCGAATGTAAGAAACTCACTGATGGCAAAACAGAGGCAACGATTCATACGACGACTTTCGTAGACAAGCAAACACTAATTAGTGTTAACCGACTGGGAATTTTATGCGAAAAAGCCTTTTAACCGCTTTTCTGTAACTTTTATGTTAAGATTTAAAGCGCATTAGATTTGAGCACAAACGATAGTTAAAATTAAGGCCATTTTTTTTGTCTCAAAGTCAATATAAATTTTTGTGCATGCGACGGCCAAATTGAATATTTTAACTTGATGGAAAACCACAAAATATTCGTTTGGCTTGAAAAAAAGACCAAGTAATTGATCATCTACACTTTCTGTCAGATAGAAAATACTAAGATGAAGAAAACGAACTATACTCCTCATTCCTAATATTGCTTTTGTTGTCTCAGTTTCTGCTCACAGAAATGGTCCTTACAAAGTTTTTAAATCACTCTTCACAAAAAGTTAGTGAAAAGATAGATTTTTCTCATTTCCCAGTCATAAAGTTAAAATTTATGCTTTTATTTCTTATCGCGCTGTTAAGAGCCTATAGATATGGAAAAAGAATACGCAAATGATGAGTTAATTTGTTATCAAAGAACACTGACTGTTAAGATTTCAAGAACGTAAATTATATGATTAGATTGAGCAGAAAGCGCTTTCTCTGCAAAGATGTTTTCGACTAAGAAAGGGCGAAGTACACTTTATTCGTCTTTCCTTTGGAGGTCAAGAGACATGTTTAAATGGTTAAAGAATTGAAATTGTTTCAACAGTAACACATGTTCGATCTTAGAAACGTGTAGTTCTTTTACAGAATATGCATAACGTCAACTATGAAATAAATGCCACTAGTAAATCACGTGAATTGATAAATTTCTTTCTTTTTTTTATGGGGGCGGGAAAATCCGGAGCGGGGGGAGGATACCTTTCTCTTAAAAATACCCATTCCTCACGCGAACTGAGGCCAGAAACATAATTCATTACAGAAACCAAACTACAAACTCGATACGAAACAAAGATCGAGGTTCGCTTGGGTTTGGTCGGTTTTAGATTCTTGCCATGCACAAATGCCAATTCCATAGCATTCACAAGTACTGTAATGAAATTAGTGCAGTTTACTCTGTATGCTCCACTTGTCACCACTGTGTCGGATCGATCAGGGCTCTGATAACCGGGATGTGAAAATGTATCGGTTGAGACAGTTTTGCATGCTATTTCCGGTTTTGATCTGATTTTTTTTCGGTTTTTCGGTTTTGGATGATTTTTTCGACGGTTTTGCGGTTTTTAATAGGCCCCAATGCCCCCCTCAATGACTGGTTGATTGTGGCTGTACCATTGACTGAAAGAATGACTGAACTGATGACTGACTGATGGAGTGATTCACTGCCTAACGGACTGAGCAACTGATAGACTGACAGACTCTCTGACAGAGCGACTGAATTGATTTGAAAAACGCTTAGAAGTAGATACCAAAAATAATTGTGGGACCAACCCAAAAAGTCCGTGGGAGATTGGATAGAGACATGACGTGTCGTGTGTCAGCGGAAGAAGTTACGAAAACAAGATGGCGGTTTAGTTTGGATAGTTTTTTTTAAAGACCTTTTAAAATAGGTGCCTTGCGCTCTTCATTTACTTGATTGCTTTCATCGCGATCAAATTGAAAAGAAATAATATACAATGGACAATCTTTATCAAGAGACCAATCGGTAAGTTTTTCTGTTTGCTTTTATAGCCCTTCGAAGACTTCCCGAATGTTGAGTCCCCTGCTCTGTTATGACAACCCAATATTAATGAAGCTTGATTTTCATCCCATTTCTGTTGCGATCCCCATGGTATTCTTACCATCCAAAGCATCACTTTGCCCTCTTTTACTTTTATGCTTCGCATGGATATTTTACCCGTCCAGATCACTAAGGATAGGATCTACCCAGGCTACATTCAAATTTAATTTGAGTTTAGATAAATTTAAAGTTACGATATGTTCTTTTTCTCCCTATGAAAGGCTCATCGTAGGAGTTCAGGGTTTGCTCAGCAAACTGAGTTCTGCACATCCTGATTCGCTGAACGGTGAGCGTAAACATTAATTTGGAAGAAAGGGTCATCATTGCGTCATGTTTATCCTACCAGCTGTCTCATGCTCACAGACAAGCCATGAGTGGTTTGTCGTGAAAACGAGCTGATGTATGATACTTTATTGAAGTATCACTGGTGAAAAAAGGAATTGCTGCTCATGGATTCATACAGCTTTAACAAAATATGGTTTTTTGTCATAATCATCACCTGGCAATCTTTGACTTAATGTACCTTAAGATTCACAAAAAGCACAGAATATGATTACAAGGATACCTTTATATAATTATTTACCAGGCGAGGAGCTAAATGATTAAAAAAAATAGAACTCAAGACCAGAGCACAGTTTTTTTCCTATGTGGACATACTTAAACTGGTAAAAAACTTATTTCTTACTTTTTTCTGAACAGTTTTTTCCTGTAAGGATTGATGTAGGCCAGTAAACAAGTTATCTATTGTTTTCTGCCAGTTTGCCATTTTCTAGTTTGCTATGAAGATTTTGGACCAGGGTCCAATCTAAAAAAGCTGGACCAGTTACCAGTGTGTGCTTGCTGATGCATTGGAGGATTGAAGAGATGCATCAGAAAAAATAAAGTGAATTGATGTTAAAAACTCCTTTAAGGAGAGTTCGTAGGAATAGTTTTTAATCTTCAATCATCTTCTCTTTTCCACAATAGCTCTTGAACAAGAAATAGAACAAAACTTGGAGCAAGCATCTGCTAATTGTGACCGTCTGGGGATCCTTATAAACAAGGAACCACCTCAGAAGAAACAGAGTGCCAGAATGTAAGTGGTTCATGAGTATGTCGGTTAGACCCATTACAAATACTATGATCTACATTAATATGACTTCCCTAGCGTGCTTTTCATTTAACTGATTTATTCTTGTTTTCTCGTCACCATATCCCCACTGATTGTGTAGCTCCATTTTCTGCATATCAACACACACACAACCCACAATTCCTCCAGTTACTCAGACAAAGAGCTAACGCTCAAAATGTCAGTTTCTTAACTCTTGACCCTTTAACTCTCAGAAGTGATTAACATAAAACTTCTCCCTATAATTTCTTTACATTATCCATCAAACAGGTAATGAGAATATTCAAACCTATCAGGTAGAAGTTGTTATTGTGATCTTACACCAAATTCTCATAACTAATTTACAAGGATTTATGTAGCAGCGAGTGGGGAGAATTGACAATCAGATCTTGGGAGTTAAAGAGTTAATGATGGCCAATTTACCTCATCAACTTGGTTGATAACACCAAATTACCCTACTATGATAATCAGTTCAGTGATAAGCAGAAAAGTTTGATGATGGGGTTTTGATGGTAAAATAACAGTGTCCAAGTGTCGAACATGAAAACCTGCCAAAAAAAATTCAAACAACATTTTGCTACTGGGAACAGAGACATTAGCCTGTGACAGCAACCTGAATTTAATGTCAAAACATGATATAGTATCTTGTAGACACTGCCATTGGTTGTTCTACTGACAACTATTGTTGAAACAGAATTTGTCAGTTGTTACATTACAGCTTGGCTTTGAAGGGCTGTATTCAAGTGTCTGTTGACTAATAAGATTCTGATGTATAGATTTTCTTGTAAATTGTGCAGAAGGTCTTAGCAGATTCTTTAGGCAAGTGAAGATGTTCGAATTTGCCTAAATTTTGAATCATTTATCTTACTGTACTGAATTTTTGTGAATTTTTTCTCCTTAGAAAAGTCGACCAATTGACATATGATTTAAGACACCTAAAGACAGGCTTTAACAACTACCAGCATCGCAAAATGCTCAGGGTATGATTGCTTTTATAATATTACTATTCATGACTTCACCCTTTAAATCCCGTGAGTGACCAACACAGAATTGTTCCTTACAATATCAATACAACATCAAACCAACAAGTGATGAGAATAAAGAAAAACATTTGACAGACAGGGTGGAGAATTAATTTATTTCATTCTTTCTTTTTCATCAGGAACAGGAGGAAAGAGAAAGAGAAGAGCTCTTAAACAGAAGGTTTACTACAAATGTTAGTAATTTCTGTTGTGCCTCAAGTTGCAACTATTTTGATCACCATGGGAAAAAAAAAAGAAACTGCCCACTAAATTTGCAATCATATGAAAACCATCAATTTCATAACCTGTTTTTGGCAATTTTTATGTGGTTTCATGATGCTAAATAGCAATTGTACAAGAATTTGAGCCTGGATACCTGTTTCTTTTAAAAAGCCCTATGTCTCCTTTCCTCTTTGAGGTGAAAATAGTTTGCAGGTGTGGTATATTGGTATATACATGTATGCATCAACAGAGAGAAAGTTGATCAAAAAAAAATTACAAAAATCATTTTTACTCAAAGCTTTGCATGACTATTTAACATGTTCCTCTCTAAAGCAGGGTCTAACTCCCCTTACCAATTAATTAGACAAATTTGTGTCATCTCTTGATTGTATTGCTATTTATTTTTATTTTTCATTAGTTTTTATCATTTATAGTTCTCAGTTTTTAGCATGTAAAACACTTACATCATGTGCCTTAGGTTTTGTGGCTCAGGAGCTCGAGATTGGGAGATCATTCCCTGTATATATGAAGTAAAATAAATCATCTACCCATCTATCTGTGAGTTCTTTATTGCTCAGTGCTAGAGCATCAGAATGTAAGATCTGAGTCTTTTAGTCCTTGTGGTGCATTCAACTTTAACCTTTGCCCCTGGCTTCTATATGTGATTACATATACATATGTTGTTATAGAAATGTGAATTTTGCACTTTTAGCTTTTTCAGTACAGTAAGATAAATGATTCAAACTTATCTTGCAGAATAGTGGGGAGACATCAATTATGATAGACCATGCTCTACAGCATAACACGTCTCTTCAAAATGCTGACCGAGGAATCAGTGATTTACTGAGTAGTGGCTCCAGTATTTTGACAAGTTTACGAGATCAACGTGTCACTTTAAAAGTATGTTCACTCCATGTGCATTGATTTTTTTATTAGTACAGTTCAGCTTAACAATAAGGTGACCAAAATGTGTGTGTAAAACACACAGAGAACTCTTGTAAGGTCAGACACATACTGGTATTGACAGACAAGCCCACATGTCTATTCCTGGGCTTACTATTGGGTGCACCCTTCCCATTTCTGTTGCTTACCTTTCCTTTCAGCGGCATACCCACTGTCATTGTAGTTGATTGGTGAAAAGTTGGAGAAACTAAACATGAAATTAGCTGGCTGTTTCTTGTTCTCTATTCCAAGTTTGGAGTAAAGTATGATAAGATTAAGAAGGTAACAAACCCTTCTCTTCCACTTTTTTCAGGGCGCGCAAAAGAGAATATTGGATATTGCCAGCACTCTTGGACTTTCCAACACTGTTATGAGATTAATTGACAAGAGAGCCACACAGGTATTTTATTCTGAATATCACTGTTAGTAAAACACAACATACCCCATTCAGGGGATTGACTGGTTTAATCAGAAAAGGCTATCAATGATAAACAACTGTTCAGTGCAGGGAGAGTCAACAGTTTTCTGTTCCACTCCCCCATCCCCTTATTGTGAGATTTTCCATTACATGAACAGTTTACAAAACATTTAATTTAGATGATGAAAAGCAAAAATAAAAAAAATCTGCATATATATTTTTCTCTGCTAGATATACAAGATGATGGTCCTTCTCACCAGTTGA